TATTATTATTATTATTATTATTTATTTGCTTTTTGTTAGGATCATCATATCAATGGGAAAAAAATAGAACAATTGAACCTTTTTTTAAAAAAAATAAAGGGAAGAAGATTCAAGGGAATGAAGGGGCATAGAAAAAAATAGTTGAAGATCTTCAACAAGATCCTACACAAGTCATCTCTAAAGAGCCTATACAAGAAGAAGGTTCAAAAGTTAATATAAATGGTTTTCTTATTAAGCGTGATCCTAGAAAATGAAAGCATATATTATTGACTCAATGTACTTCAAGAGGGGGGGTGAATTGGAGTTCCAAAAATTCTCCCCTTTTGCAACCACAACACCAAAATTAAAGAGAGTAAAGAAGAAGAGCTTGTTTAATAATTTTATAGAGGTTCGGTCCAACCAGTTGGAACCTAGTCTTCTACTTTGGATTCATTCACCAAGGATTTCCTCCACACTCTCCACTAACAAAATTAAGGGTGGCTTAAAGGAGCCACTTAATCCTTTTACAAGAAGAAGGGTGTTTCTCTCAAATCTCACCCTTTTACAAGATAAACCTCAAGAATCTCTTGAAGGATTAATCACACCCCTAAGATCACTCACAAATAGAACAAGAAAAGGATTACAAGTAAAGATCTCTCAAAGATCAAAACTCAAGTTAAAGCTTATGTAGGTAGGTAAAGATATTCAATGCCATGCTCTTTAAACTTGCTCCAGATCTTCTACCAACCATATTTATAACCCCATGGTCGAAAATAGCCGTTACTAACCGTTGGGGTCATTTAATGCTCTGCAGGACGCATGGTTCGAGTTGCAAAACTGTTAGTACAGCTGGCTTAATCTTCTAGAGCCGGCTCTGTATAGCCGGTTTAACTTTTTTGCAGTCGGCTCTGTGGGTTTCCTACGTTCTGTTTTCTCCGTAGAGCAAGCTTAAAAATTCTGCAGCTAGTTTTGTGGGTTTTCTGTACATTCTGTTTTCTTACACAGCCGGCTGCAAAGTCTAAAGCCAGCTTTGGGATTCCAACTTTAAA